AGTATGTATACGTGTAAGTATGTATACATATTATCTTCTTTGATGTTGGCTTTAAGTATTGCATAATGATATAAATTGTATGTTTGTTCAGATAGTTATATTTTTTTTTCAGTGCACAATATTGTCAAGTCCTCGTTACGTAATGTAATGCTTTATCATCATTCAGTATGTCCGGTTCCACTTCAAAGGAGTCAGTACAGTAGAAAAAGCAGAAGAAGAAGAAGAAGAAGAAGAAGAAAGAAGAAGAAGAAGAAGAAAAGGAGGAGGAAGAAGCAAAAGAAGAAAAAGAAGAAGAAAAAGAAGAAAAGAAGAAGATGGAAGAAGAAGGAAGAAGAAGAAGAAGAAGAATAAGTAGAAAGAAGAAGAAGAAGAAGAAGAAGAAGAAGAAGATGAAGTAGAAAAATTAAAAGAAGAAGACGAAGACGAAGGAAGAGGCGAGAGAGCACCAACCTCTCCACCCAAGAAAGCCACAAGAGACCGCCTTCCCCCCCCCCCCCCCCTCTCCTCCTTCGGCGCTGCAGATGAACCCCTGGAGACGAACGACACCAACTTGTTTACAGCTGTTCGTCACCCCGAGTATTTTCCACGTGAGTATCAGATTTACTGCCGATAATTCACGGGATGCGATGAATAACGTATCTGTGATGGCGTATATCATGTCTAATGAGGCGAGGGAGATGCATGATGAGGAGGAGAATAGGAGGGATAATAAATGGTAATAGGCACAGTTGATGATTAATTGAGATGAAGGAGAAAATAGGATAGTTTTTTTTTTTATCTCTGAGAGAGAATTAGGCCTAGGAAAAAAAAGCATTAATAAGAAACCCAGAGAAAAAAAAAACGATTAATAAATCAACTAATTATTTCATTAAGGGTAATTAAAGGAAAGGAAAATAATACACGCTCACGGAAAACAAAGAAATCTTACTTATATAAATGAGCATCTATAAATCACGCAATCTAATGATATCAGGCTGATGAATAATCGCAATTAGTCATGCTTCCATTTATCACACAGAAAGGATCTTTTCTTCGGATTTTCGAACCTTAGTGGAGAAGAAAAAAAAATTAAGGAAAAAATATGAAACATTGAGGACGTTGATGATAAAATGAGGCTGCAATAAGTAGAATATAAAAAGTGATGAAATTAATGGCTCTCATACTTATCTCGAGAGCAAAAAGAGAAGAGAATAAATTGTTGGGTTTTTAATTCTAACTAAAGGAATAAAAGACGAGAGAATGAGGGAAATGTAAATGTGAAGATAAAAAGGGGGGAATGAAAAGAGAAGAGAATGAGAAACAGAGATGTAGAATATTATAAAAGAGAGGGATAAAGAGAGAGATAGAGGGAGACAGACAGAACAGAAAATGTAAATAAGTGATTGGGTGAAATGAGAGAAACTGATAAACAGACTGACAAACAGATAGACGAAAAAGAAATTAAAGATTAAGGAGATTAATAAAGAATAAGCATACGACGTTTCCTCATTCCACAAAAAACAACAACAACAACAACAATAATAATAATAACAATAATAACTGTGATAGTAATAATAACAATATTGATGATAATAATAATGATAATAACTATATTAATCACAAAAATAACTAATCGCTATACCAATGACAATCATAATAACAACATGATATAGATAAATAATGATAAGCAAACACAAGCAATATCTTACACCCCCCCCCCCCCAAATCGTAGCACTATCTTCCCCCAACGTGCCACCTTTCCCCAAGGCCCGCCAGCGCCCAGCCCGGCCCTGGCTCTGGCACTCTCTCCCGACCGCATTTGGCACCCCGGGATATCCATCGGGGCGCGAGTGCGTGTGTGAGAGTCCGTGCCATTCACATATCTATCTATATTTTGTATTCCCGCTTGCTCTCTCAAGTGCTGTGTGATGAAATATTCATGCTGGAGCCAAAGGAAGGAAGGGGGAGGGGGGAGGGAGGGAGGATGGGGAGGGGGAGGAAGACAAATGGAAAGATGTGCAGTCTTCAAGAAGACTTTGGATATATATATATATATATATATATATATATATATATATATATATATATATATATATATATATATATATATATATATATTTATATATTTATATATATTTATATATATTTATATATATTTATATATATTTATATATATATATATATATATATATATATATATATATATATATATATATATATATATATATATATATATGTATATATATGTGTGTGTGTGTGTGTGTGTGTGTGTGTGTGTGTGTGTGTGTGTGTGTGTGTGTATGTGTGTGTGTGTGTGTGTGTGTGTGTATACACACATACATACATACATACATATATGTATATATATATATATATATATATATATATATATATATATATATATATATATATATATATATATATATATATATATAATATAATATAGATGGATATATAGTTAGACAGATAGATGGATAAATAGATAGAGAAATTAATAGAGAGATAGCTAGGTCAACAGATACTATAGACCAGTGGTTCTTGACCTTTTAACTACCACGCCCCCTTTAGGAATTTATCCTTTTCTCCACGCCTCCCTTGCATCTGTAAATAAAATTCCACCCCAGATTTTAAAGAAAATCACAAATATGTTCTTTTTTTTTCTTCTTCTTCTTCTTTTAATAGGGTATGAAATAGTGGCATTATAATTAAACATTCCATTAGGTGACCATGCTCTCGTTAAGAGAATAACAAAGATAATTAGATAAATTACTGTGTTCGCACTTCCTTTTGAAAGTCCCCCACTACCGTAGATAGATAGAGACAGATAGATAGATAAAGAGACAGATAGATAGATAATAGATAAATATATGATTAAAGGGTTAGTCGAATACAGAAATAGCTTTGGGTGGGGAATAAAAATACAAAAAAAAAGAAAGAAAAGTGCAAATACACCATGGGGAGGGAGGACAGGGGAGGAGGGGGAGGGGAACCGAGTTCAACAGCGGGTGGGAGAAAAAGGAAAGGGGGGTGGGGGGAGGGGGTAGAGTGGAGGTCGAGAGTTTTGTATCGCTTTTCCAACGCCTGAATGCGTTCCTATACATACAACTCCATCGGCGAAGTTATATACCTCAATATAAATATGCCACAAAATCGGTAAACCCTTCCCCCCCTCTTCCCCCCCCCCCTACCCCTTTCCTCCGGCTCCGATTAATCTACTTTCTACCCTTTCCCCTTTTCCCTACCCACGCCCTTACCCTCCACCTCCCACCTCCCCCAAGAAAAAAGAGTAACAGTGGAACCCCCTTTCAATTTTCTCCCCCCTCCCTCTCCCCCTCGATCTCCCTCCCCTACCCCACACACCCCAAACAAAACAACAACTGAATAAACAGATAAATAAACAAATAAATAAATAAATAAACAAATAAAAGGGGGTGGGATGAATAGGAGTCTGTATCAGCAACAAGAAAGCTACTTCAAAGGTTTCCTCTCCCGATCTGTACTGCTCTCAGATGCGGAATCCGGTCGAGGAATACTGAAAAGGGTATTTAATCTTTTAGAAAACCGATAGGGCGCTGGATTCCTTGGCTTTTTTCTTTTCTTTTTGGCTGTTGTTTTTGTTGTTGTTGTTGTTGCATTTCGGAAAGAGGAAGAGGTGAGTGAATTTTTTTTTTCTCGTTCCCTTTTTCGTACGTGGGGATTCTGTTATTCTTTGCTTTCATCTCTTGCTTGTCTTTGTTGTCTGTTTTTTTTCCTTTACTTCCGTCTTTCCTTCCTCTATCTATCCCTTTAATTTCCTTCCTCGCGTCCCTTCCTATCCTTTTCCTTCTTTTCTCTCTTCTTCCTTTCTTCCTCTTTATCTTCTTACTTATGTCTCCCTGGATCCCACTCTTCGTTCTCTTGCTCCCTCCTTCCTATCTGTCTTTCCCTCTCTCCCTTTCTCCCTTCCTCTCTCTCTTTCCTTTTCTCCCTCCCTTCCCCCTTCTCTTTCCCTTTCTCTTTCCTTCCCTCCCTCCCTCCCTACCTCTCTTTCCATCTCTCTCCCTTTCTTTCTCTCCCCTCCTTTCACTCATAACATTTACCACTTCCTTTTCACCATCGCATTTCGTCAAGCCTTTCTTGAGTGACACTTTAGCTCATCCTCCCATCTTTCTTCCACTCAAAACCACTTCTTTTTTTTCTTTGAAGTCTTAACTGGCCACATCTCTCCCTCTCTCTCGCTCTCTCTCTCTCTCTCTCTCTCTCTCTCTCTCTCTCTCTCTCTCTCTCTCTCTCTCTCTCTCTCTCTCTCTCTCTCTCTCTCCTTATCTGTTTCTCGCTTTCCTCATTTTTCTATTCAAGCTCTATTCGTCTCTCACATCCACACTCTTAGTCCTCAGAAGGGTATATATATATATATTTTTTTTCTATCAATTTAATTTTCACTTTTTTTTATTTTTGGTTCTTTTAGAAGAGCCACATACCTTGCTTGATATTTTCTTTATCTCTTTCTGCATTTCTTTCTTTGTTTCTACCTTTCTATACTCCTTCTCTTTCCCCACCTCTTCTTTCCTTCTCTATTTTCTCCTTCTCCCCTTTCTCCAGCCCCTTCTTTCCTCCCCCTATTCTTCCTTACCCATCTCTTCTCCCTCCCCCTCTCCCTTTCCTCCTCCTTCACTTTCTCCCACTTTCTCCTTCTCCTTTTCCTCTTCTTCTTCCTCCTTGTTTGTTCTTCGCCTTCTTCTCCTCCTCCTCCTCCTCCTCCTCCTCCTCCTCCTCCTCATCCTTCTCCTTCTCCTCTTCGTCCACCCCTTCTTCCCTTTTCTCCTCTGTTTTCCCCGCTTACTTTCTTCCTCTTCCTTCTCCCACTACCCTCCCTCCCTCCCTCCCTCCTTCTCCCACTATCCTCCCTCCCTCCCTCCCCATCCCGCTCCCTTACTCCCTTCCTCCCCCTCTCCTCCCTTACCCCCCCTTTCCCCCCCCTCACGCCCTCTCTCCCCCCCACTAACCCCCCGCCCTAACTCCTCTCCTCTTCCTCCTTCCAG